GAAAATCGTTTTGATGCTGGGTGCAACTTCATAATATCCACATAAAATTGATTTTTGTTGGTGTGTTTTTGTTTCTTCTCCCTAAATTACATATTTAACACATAATTTAATGCATTCTCAGGTCTTTTTTTTTACATAAATACTTACAAATGCTCCATTTTTGCCAATTTACGCAGTTCACTGATCAACGGATAGATTTTGATATACAGTAATGTGAAAAATAATAGGGACACTTGCTTGAAAATAGGTAAAAAATAAAATCTGATTCATTTTAAAAATATTATCAAAAATGTAACATGTAATTGTTTGCTGGGATGTCAGTGAAGTAAAGAACCGTTATCAAAGAAAAAATATTTGGCGTCGTTTCGCAGCTGTTGATCATTTTCTGAAGTAAGATCGTTTTTGAGTGTGCGAAATAATAGGGACGAGAATATTAAATTGGTGTTAGTTTTGAAATATTGGGATTCTTAAAAATTTTTAAGAGAAAGTTAACATGTAATGTAATTTAGTAATTTAAAATGGGCAGAGGACAACACTGCAGGGCTGAGTTGCGTAAGCAAATAAAACACCTCCACAATCAGGGATTTTCACACCGGAAAATAGCCGAATCGTTGAAATACTCCAAGAGAATGGTAAAGAATGCAATATAATATAAGCCTCAGAAAGAAACGCGTGGACGAAAATCAAAAATATCTTCAAATCTTGAAAGGAATATAATGCGATTTTTAAAAAAGGACCCATTTGCATCCTCTGGTGAACTTAAAAAGGAATTTTCTTTGGCCGTCGACACTTCTCCCATTCGTAAATGGCTAATTAATAAAAATTTAAAAGAAAAGAGACCCAGAAAAGTACCTTTTCTGTCCAAGCCAAATGAGATTAAAAGGTTACATTTTGCTAATGAGCACGTCAAGTGGCCAGTGGAGAAATGGTGCAATATCCTGTGGTCAGATGAGACCAAATGCATTCTTTTTCACCCTGACTGCGGTACTCAACATGTGCGCAGGCCAGTGAACACAGCTTTTAACCCGCAATATACAGTTAAAACTGTAAAACACGAAGGAGCATCAATTATGGTGTGGGGATGCTTCTCTTACCATGGAGTTGGTCCAATATATCGAATTAAGGACACAATGACAGCGGTGACTTATTGCATATATTAAATGAGGTTATGGCGCCTTATGCTGAGGAAAACATGCCCCTCCGATGGGTGTTCCAGCAAGACAACGACCCAAAACACACATCGAAGCTAGCAAAAAAATGGTTCTCGGAAAACAATATAAACATGTTAAGCTGGCCTGCTCAATCACCGGACTTAAATCCCATCGAGAACTTGTGGCAACATGTGAAAGTAGATTTGAAGGGTAAAAAAGCAACAAACAATGATGCACTTTGGCTACTGATACAGGAAGCGTGGAAAGCTATTCCCCGGGCCACGTGCCAAAATTAATTGACTCATTACCTCGCCGATGTCGGGCGATGTCATTCAAAATAAAGAATTTGCAACGAAGTATTCAAAAATCAAATTCTAAAAGTAAAAAGAATTTTGTAAAAAAAATGAATTGAACATTTTTTTAACTGCAATTGTCTCTATTTTTTTCACAACATAATTTGGGTAAAGCTATTAAAATAATTAATTTTTTTCTTCTTTGAATTTAATTCGAGTTATTTTCTCTAATATTGTTATGGTAAAAACATAAACCTATTTAAAAATAAAAACACAATTTCAAACTTAATAAAAATATTCGTTTTCTTTGCATTTTACGAAATACCGCCATGTGTCCGTATTAGTTTTCACATGACTGTATATTTTCGATTTTGCAGTTTCAATGATTTCGAAATAAGCTTCATCTATTAGCCACGCAATTTTTTTTTCGAGTCGGCAACTAAGTTATACTTCATCGAAAACTTAATTTTTGGTACAATTTCAATGATTTAAATGTAATGATTTTCGATCGAAACTGATTCAATAATTAAACCCCATGAGCTTTTCACATCGCTCGTTTCTTATTGATTTCCAAGCACGACCAACAGTTTACCAAAGTTGACTCTTATTAGATGGATTAGCCTCGGCAAACGCCTACTTACCTCGCACCACAATTTTTTAGGGTTGAGGAGTGGGTTTTAAATAAATTTCTACCTATATATTGGGAATGTGGCGGCGAGACTCCAATGAAATGATTTGCCTGTTGTCCTATGCTATTCTGGGTTCCCTAGGCGAATATTTTGTCCAATATTCCACGCACGAGTTATTCATGTACTACTGATTTAGTAGCTGAAGCCCAGAATACATTATGATGAGATGCTGGACAGAGACGAGTAGGTCCTTGTGGAATTTACTACAGTGGCCATATCAACGAGCGCAAGTTTGGTGTGGGATTCGCGGTGAGAGAGAGACTCCGTTGCCGAGCACTATTATTCACTCCGGTGAGTGAACGTCTAGCCACAATCCGCATCAAAGGCAGGTTCTTCAACATATCGCTGATTTGCGCCCAGCCCCGACGGATGAGAAGCTCGATGTGACCAAACATCCCCAAATGGGTTGAGGCTGATCGACTTCACCGGGGCCCGAACTATGGTTATCTGTAGTACTAGGTTCCAGCATAAGAAGATTCAGCAAGCTACTTGGCTGTCTCCGGATCGAAAAACGACCAACCAGATCGATCATGTTGTGATAGACGGAAGACACGTCTGCAGTGTTCTAGATGTGCGTACGCTCCGAGGTCCTAACATCGACTCGGACCACTATCATGTTGCAGCCAAGACTAGCACCCGCCTCTGTGCAGCAAAAACGCACTCCACACAAACAGAAGGAAGGTTCGATGTCAAGAAACTGCAATCACAACAGACAGCCGAATGATTTTCACTCGGCATGCACTACTGCTCTCTGAGAGCAATTGACAAGCCAACTCTGGGACGGCATTTCAAACTCCTTACGTACAGCTGCAACCGAAAGCATTGGTTTTCGGAAAATGCAAAAGAACAGCTGGTCGCAGCGGAGAGAAAACAGGCTGCCTACCTGGCAAAGTTACAATCGAACACAACACGTGCGGGATGGGATAGATACCGAGAGTTGAAGAGGGAATCGAGGAGCATCTTCAGACAGAAAAAGAAAGAGACCGAAATGCGTGAGTACGAAGAGCTTGATAAGCTGGCCGCCAGGGGTAATGCTCATAAATTCTACGAACAAATGCGGCGGTTTACAGAAGGTTTCAAGACCGGAGCATACTCTGGTAGAACCCCCAAAGGTGATCTAGTCACCGATGCCCAGAGCATACTTAAATTATGGAGGGACATTCCTCCAGCCTGCTGAATGGCAGTGAACGCAAAACGCCTGGAAAAGGCGAACCCGATTCCCCAATAGTTGACGATGGAGCAGACATACCATTGCCTAATATGAAGAAGTTCGAATAGCAATTACCCGCCTGAAAAACAACAAAGAGGCGGGGGCCGATGGATTGCCGGCCGAGCTGATAAGGAGCATGCATCAAGCTCTTTGTAAAATATAGGCGGACGAAAGCATGCCCAATGATGGGAATTTAAGTCTGTTATGCACAATCCTCAAAAAAGGAGACCCCACAATCTGCGCCAACTATCGTAGGATTAGCCTCGCATATAAGGTTCTGTCGAGCGTATTTTGTGAAAGAGTAAAGCCCACCGTCAACAAACTGATTACACCTAAACAGTGTGGCTTTAGACCTGGCAAAGCAACAACCGACCAGATATTCACTATGAAAAGAAAATCGACACACACAACCTCTTCGTCGATTTCAAAGCTGCTTTCGACATCACGAAAAGGAGCTGCATTTATGACGCGATGTCTGCGTTTGGTATCCCCGCAAAATTAATACGGCTGACGTTGAGCAACACCTAAAGCTCCGTCAGAATCGGGAAAGACCTCTCCGAGCCGTTCGATACAGAAATGGCCATGTTTCAGACAAGGCGACTCCCTATCGTGCGACTTCTTCAACTTGCTTCTGGAGAAAGAGTTCGAACTGCAGAACTAAATATAGAAGGTACCATCTTCTATAAGAGTGTACAACTGCTGGCGTATGCCGATTGATATCACCGTGTTCAATACCCGCGCCGTTAGTTCTGCTTTCTCCAGACTGGACAAGGAAGCAACACAAATGGGTCTGGCAGTGAACGAGGGCAAGACGAAATATCTCCTGTCATCTAACAAACAGTCGTCGCACTCGCGACTTGGCACTCA